TTAATTTTATAGTAAGACTTTTAATGAAGATAAAAGAAGAATTCGACAAAAGGCTGAAGCTAAAAGTGTTGTTGGTAAGTGGAGATGTGTGGTACCTGCACGTTCTGAGTGGGGCAGCTGGATAGTCAGCATGGTTTTTATACTATTGAAGGAAAATAGCTGGTAATAATTTATTTTAAAGACTATTAGTTCTCCACTTTAAGTTTATTAACACTTTCATACATAATGATTCACTATAGAAACGAAGATACTTGTGTAAACCTAAATTAAATCTGTTTGTTGTGCACAGGCAGTGGTGCTTGTACATGATCATGATCAGGTCACGATCCTGCTTTTAAAACTCTGGGCAAGTATTCATAGGGAAAGACATGTGCAATGCTCTTGTTGCAGGGAGAAAACCCTCTAATTCCAGCCCCTAAACCTCAAGTCCCATGAGAGGATGAAAACTTACCTGACTCACCTGAAGATGCCTTTGGGATAGGGAGATTTTGCCTTAGAGTGGCCCCGTAGCTTCAGGACACACCGGAGCTTTCTAAGCTGCCAGCCTTCCCTCCTTGCTCTCCATTGTCTGACATTAATTCTTAGTTTTAACACTGAATTACTGTATTATGAACAGTTTAGCACTTGAAATGTTCCTCTGTTTCTGGACTTACACGCTTTTTTTTTTTAATTTATTTTTTGATTTTAAAATAGCAGTCTGCATGGAGGGCATCATGGTGCTGGTTAAGGCTAAACCAATCCAGCCTCCTGGATTTCTCCATTTTGTCCTGGTATTGAAGATACCTCTGAAACACAATCTCACACTCAGAATTTACCAACTTGCCTTAAATATACAGGACTTTTTCTGCAATGCATTTAGCATCCCATCAAAAGCAGAATCTCCAAGGTATTTAAAGTAACATATGATGGAAGATGATGGTTAAAACCACTGAGTGCTTGGTGTGATGTGGGCACAGCCTGGGCAGCATCCAACTATGCAAACAGATATTGCAGCCCTTCCCAGGGCGATGCCAACTGGCACTTAATATCGTGTATTTGAAAACTTCCTGGCGAGTGCAACAGCAGTGAGCATCTTCTCCCAAACCTGAATGAAAAAGGGTATTTCTGCTGGTTTCAGGCTGCAGGTCCATGGTGAGAGGATGCAGCAGCTCACTCTGATGGACCAACAGTAAGAGCAGAAGGCAGCATCCATCCCTGGAGCATCATCTGAGCAATAGCAAGAGTAACTCTAAGTAACCATACGAGCCTATTACTCTTTTCTTCCTTTTGGAGGCGAGGCCCCGTTTTATTTGTGGGCCTGACTGGAAGCAGATGGACCTGTCAGGGCTCCATCAGGCAGGTGAGCCCAAAGGGGCGGACGAGCTGCTAAGTGCTCCCAGCTGCTGGGCAGGGCCTGGAGGAAATTGTTGGAGCTGGGACCCGGCTCAGAGATGAGATCTGGAGCCAGTGCCAAGAAGGAAAGAGTGAATTTCTCCAAAAAGTAGTTCTCTAAAAACCTGAAAGAGCGAGTCTTTTAAAGTAAGAGAAAATATTGGAAAGCTTCTTTGGTGCATCTAATATATCTTCGGACTTCAGAGAGCTAGAGGCCATCCTGAGCCCCTGCCCCCATCTCTGGTTTTGTTCAGGATCTGCCTTCTTAGACAGCAAATATTATTTCTCCTGAGGGTTCTCCCTTATCGCTGGTGTTTTCCTCTCTAGAAAGGTCTTGAATTTTACTTGCTGGTTTGTGTCATTTGATTTATAAGCTCAAGGGGTCTGTCACAAAACCTGGAGTACTTCTTGTACTTAATTGCTACAATAAACTTAAAACTTGGTGCTTTAAGATGAACAATCTGGGAGGAAATTGTTTGATGTATGGAAGTAGATGGTAGGTCCTTCTTGTGAATGTCACAGAAGGGACACAGAGGAGAAGTGGATTTATAAATAACTATAAAATTCAGAAACTACACGAGCTTAGTGAGAGCAGAGCTCTGTTAAGCATGAACAGCTTGCAGTGCAATACCCAACATCTGCAAAAGTCCTTGCAGCCAGTCTAATTTCCAACAGCCTCGATTGCTGCACCCAGGCTGTCCGACACCAGCTTTAGCTCGGCAGGGACTTGGGAGGCTGTGATTCTCACAGACACAGCTGAGCACAGAAAGGGGTGCCTAGAACTTGCATTCTAAAATGCAAATCAATGACCGAAAGAAAATGTGATTAACAAGCTTTTATACAGATTGCAAGAAAGGTGCTTTTTCTTTTCCTTTGTAAAATTACTTTATCAAAAATAGCTCTTTCTGTTTTAAAAGCTGTTTTTTCCAGTGCTCCGTGGCTGCAGCATCAGTGGAGCACAGAGGCTGCTGAGCTGGTGGGGTTGAGGATGGGGCTGCCGCCGCGGCTGAGCGATGCTGTGGCTGCCTGCCATGGTTCTGCTGCCTCTGAGTGACATGGTGATAAAGAAAATTGTGAAATATCTTCAGTGTGTGAACGCCAAGGAACAAGGTATCACTTCTGATGCTGCAAAGTGCGGCTTCAGCCATCAAGTGCTCATAGCACAGCCCCAGGAGGAGTCGGGGGCTGCATCCCCCTGCACCCGGTACCCAAAATACATTGAGGGACTGGGAGAGCCACCACAGCACCAGTGATTTTAAAATTATGTCTTCAGATGCTGTATTTCTTATTTAGTTTCCTGAGCCATGTTTTAAAAGAGTCACTGCATTTTTTGTGTATTCTAGGAGACAAACAGACACCCAAAACTAAGAAGAAAGGACACATAAATATTGTGGAGTCATCTGTTTCCAATAGCGTGTGTTTACATATTAATGTGCAATACAAATTTGTAAACATGAGCATTTGAAACTTTTGCAGGAACCGATACCGGCCTTTTCCTTTTCTGCCGCTTTATTGGAACAGCATGTCCCCCCAGCTCCAGTAACACATGTATGTCGTTTTAATACTGGATGCATTTCAAATGTTCTGGGTGCTTATTTGTTCTGGTCTATCTTGCTATCCAATCCTCGTTTGTTTTGCATAATTGTGATACAAATTATCATCTAATTACAGACCAAACCTCAGAAGATCAAATGTAAACCTAGGCACTTCGATCAGAAAAAGTTACCTCCGATGCTCCCCCTACACATTTGGCTTCTCCAATAGATGTATTAAATTTGGGTGAAACTGGATAGTAAACTGCACTTTGATTAAAAACATTATTGCTGAGGTTTTTTGGTCTCCTTGATTTTTAAATCAACATCCTGGTGTCTGAGCACTGAGCACATCCCATGTCCCAGTGTCAAGTACGGATGTGGTGCCCTTGGTATGGCCAGTTGTATTTGCTGAGTGCTATAAATAGGATCAGATATTCCCAAGTAACTCCAAACTCCTCTTGGGAAAAGTCAAATGACTAATAGCTAAAATTGTTCAGCAAGACTGATCTTTAAAAAAACCTTTGATTATTTTCTCCTTGTTCTCATTTAAAAATAGCACCATAATACTGCATTTGTGTTTGTATTCACCCAGTAAGTCTAAAGAACAGTGAAATTTTGCAATTGCCACAAGTTTTCAAATAATGTTAGTGGGAGGAAGTACAAAGCAGCATGTAACATATTTGTATTTACAGGCATGTGGTCCTTCTTGAAATATTGACCTCAATTCCCCCGGTTTCACATTTAATAAATAATCATTTATTATACTGACTCACTCTCTCCAGTTCTGCCACTCACCTCTCACCAGCAGCCATTTTACAAAGCACCCCTAGAAAGTAGTGTGCAGGTTATCTACTATTTTGTGCAGAGTTTTGCTCATATAAGCAAAACCATCTATTTTTTAGTGTGAGCGATTACAGCTGAATTACCACCGCAGGTATGGAAAATACACCTGTGCCAGGACAGCCGGGGAGACTTGGCTGGGTTTGAGGTGACCATGGGGGCATCAGGACAGAGATCTATGACTGCCTGAAAATACCACCAACATCTTTTTTATCCATTACAGTGAGTTTTGAAAGGATGAAAGCAGGAGATAAAGGCAAAGGAAATAGAAATTAACCTCAGATAACAGAGACCTGACAGAGCCTCTCATGCCGTGCTGACCCCTTGTATGAAGCAAATTGGTATTTCTACCTCTGCCTCACCCATGCTGATGAGTGCTGCACCCCCCCGGAGCTCAGCGCTGGCACCTGAGGGACACGCAAGCACATCCCTTGCAGGCACCAGGCTCTGGGCATGTTTTCCAGCCTGCTGTGACTGGGGAGGGTGGAGGAAATTGGGCTCCTACAGCATCTACATAGGTGCATTGAAACCCGACCCACTTCCATGGGAATTAGCTGAGCATAACTGTCGGAGCGTTGCACCCCAACACTGGGCTTGTAGTTTCATGCCAAAAGGCACAGAATAAACAGGCGGCTCTGGGAAGCCCCATGCCTGCGTTTGCAAACATGCTCCAAGTAGGGATGAGGTCGGTCCCATAAAAGAGAGCGTTTGCTCAGCTGTAGTAGATGGAATTTATCTGATCTCAGCTTAAATATCTATCACTGTAAAATTGTCCGTACTGAGAATATCTACTCTAGTCATTACCAGTCACATTTTTAACTAGACAAACACTGGTTTGTTGGATCACCAGCTCATAGCCAGCAACTCTGGAATATCTTATGCAACCGCAAATACTTGGAAAATTGGAAGTTACCCATTGCATCCACCCACGAATCCGTGACAGATCTGGAAGAGCCTTCCAGCTCCCCAAAAGTATAACCACATGTTGGGGCCAGTACTGGGTCACCCAGCCCACAGGGAGCCGAGATCTGCAGCGCTTTGCAGAGCCCGTCCCAGCGCCCACATTGGGCTCACCCGCGGGAGCTCGGCCACTGCCAGTGATGAGGGATGGCTTGGAAATAAGGAGTCCTGAATGAAAAAAAAGGTGGGTTTTTTTGTGTGTTGTTTTTTTTTCTTTTCTTTTCTTTTTTTTTTTTTTTTTAATAAAAATAATGAGATAAACTGCTAAGAAACAGCATGAGAAAGCAGGTTTGTTAATTTTTACAGTTGTACAGACCATTCAGCAAGGCAAGCACGGCCCACGATTTCATACTGGTATTGCTGGGGGCTCTGTGGACACTCAAAGCAGGTAAATTAGGAAAATCAGTGTTGTCTGATTTTTAACAAAGTCTCATGAAAGTAAAAGTGTGACTTTTTGTTATTTTAACAGATTTTCATATTGCTTGTTCTGTTCTTAATTTGTTGTCTGTTATAGATGAAAATAAAACCAAAACTCTGATACCAATTTTGATTCTTAAACCTGCGCTTAATCGCTATATAGTGCTGTGTTATGCCTGTAAATACAGGATTCTTTTATCTTAATCACAAAATGCAGCCAGTCCCAGTCAAGCACTATTTTCCATTCTCTGTCATATATCAAGTAATAAAATTGGCTTCAGATAGGGACTGAGCATCAATCAAATAAAGAATAAAACTTGTGCCCCAATTTATTGTGAGTTATATTGTGCCCTTGGGAGCTAGAGGTTATTTACAGGAATAACAAGAATATCCACAGGTTATAACAAAACAAACAGGACTTTTGGAAGGAATTGAAAATCTCATATTTTGGGGCCCATAGAGTTGTAACTCTTCAGAAAGGATCTGCATTCTCCCTGGGACCAATCCTGGAGTGTGTCTGCTCCTTCCCTCGGGCACAGGATGGGATCCCAGGTGGATCTTCAGTGTCCCCTGGGGCTGAAAGCACTGGGTAGGAGTGTCCTCCAGGGCTCCCAGAGATGTTTCATCCCACACAGCTCTCCGACATATCCCCCAGGTCCCCCAGCATTGATCTGTCTCTCTGTGTGGGAGATTTGTGACCCCCCCATCCCCTGTTCCTTTCCACCACACTGTTGATGCTGCTGCCGCTCTGCTCTACCACCTCCCAGAGATCTCCAGAATCAGGAGCATGGAGAGGAGGGTTCTTGGGTCACCTTTGTGTCAGGCTCCACTTTCTCATCCTCACAAAGTAGGAACACATCCATCTTTTATCCTGTCTTTCTTTACCTCAGCAGCAGATACTAGGATTTATGTCCCCACTCTGACAACCGAGTCAGCTGGGTCCTGGAGAACAAGGCTATTCCATTCCATGTCATTAATTAGGACCCACTAAAGCCAAGGAACCTGAGACTGTGCTCGAGCACTTGGCCAAATACGGCTCCTTTTCTGACTCAAGGTCTCAAATAGTCCCTTTGAAATTAGAGGAAAAACTGAAGTGGGGTGAGCAGAAGCTCACTAGGGCTTTGAGCTAACTAAAGGCAAGCTAGATAGAGAGTTTCAGGAAAACATTTTTGTAGAAATGTATATGTCTACGTTCCCACTTCAGAGTGCAAATATTAAAAAGGTGACTGTACAGTTTACTCTTAACCTACAACCATGACATAAATATTACCAAAAGGTATCAACTTGCTGTGGATCATCTCAGATCCTCCACGCTCCCAGACCCTCCACCCTCCCAACATCACAACACGTTTGCCCACAAAACAAGTTAAATGCCTAGACATACCGCTCCTGTACCATGCAGTATTTCATAGTCGATAACTAGTAAACTCTTGGGTATGAAGGAAGGAAAGGTTTACTTTACATATCAATGCTATTATATTATATTATATTATATAGTTCCACTAAAGGCAATGGTTAATTGTTGGGTGCCAGTTAGAGTGATTACATCTGCCATCTCTCAAAGAAGCTGGAATGCTGTCACTCACTTTGAAATGGCTTGCTGCATTCATCAGTCTAGATGGCACAGAGAAGTTATAACCATACAAGCCATATGGAGGATGTAAAGAACAATTAAGTGCTTCCCGAGCAATGGGACTTGATGGGAAAATGTTTCCAGATGCATGTAATCCATACAGCATTTGACTAGCAGAATTGGGTACTTGTAGACATTGCCCGTTTAAGTCTTCAGCTTTAGCATTTTTCAGATTGGTTATGCCGAGGGAAGATAGTTTTGGCATATCCACCATGAAGTGGGGTAAAAGATGCGGGTTGGTGCCTCCTAGTTTTTCATGGCTTGGAAATATGAGAGACTGTTGTCTTAAGAAGCTTGTAGGACAAATCTTGTAGTAGAGGGGCACATTGAAGTTGTGTAGGTACGTCTCGGGGCATGACCCGCCAATGTTGCTCGCTGACAAGTGGAAGGTAGGAGGTGAGCACGATGGAGAGAGCAAGGGGTTGAGAGGAGAGGGTGTCCCACCGCTGGAGGTCACCGGCGAAGAACTGGAGCTCCCACCTGAAAATGAAAACAGAAATCATCAGGGCTGGGCTAGGAGGATGTTCACAGACAAGGAACCCTTGGGGGACTCCTGCGCCCACTCCACGTCTCTCTGCTGCCGGTGTCCATCCAAGCACAAACCTGCTCCAAAAATCAGCTCCTGGAAAATGTGAAGATCTGTCCATAAATTATTTGCTGTTGTTACTTGGCACTTGTCTAAGAACAATATTCACACATGTCTAATCCCATTCATTTGACCGGGACAACTATGAAGTTCAGCCCCACACACACAGGTACCTGCCAGGTCTGTGCCGCGCTACACTCTGACAACTGTGATAAACCTTCTCCTGCTCTACATACAGCATTGCTATTTTAGATTCCCTATTTTTTAAAAAAAATTACAGGCAGCTTTTTCCTCTTATATATAAGAACAAAATAATGTATTCAGCCTGATGGGGAATTTTTTTGTACCTTCTTGCTCACAGGAATTGACTAATTTTACTTGGCTTCCCATGCAATTTGAAACACACCCATGAATACTAGAGGTGTCTCCAGAAACTTTAAATGCATGTGTCATTTCAACATTCTCCTTTCTGAAATGAATCAATGAATACTTTCATAATATGGTAGAAAAGCGACACCGGCTTGGTTCACACATGTGGGCGCTGCGGAGGCCACTGGTGTATAACATCACTGTTCAGCACCAGCTCGCCGCTCCTCCGGAGCAACATCAGGAGCAAAAACTGAGAGGCGGCGGCTGCTCTGGCGTGGGAATGGTGCTCTGGAGCAGCCGGCCCGGTGCTGAACAGATGCTGGATTCATCTAACGTTATTTAGGAGCCGTATGTCTCTGCTGCACATTCATTACCACATTCTTCCAGAGGGTTCCCCCCCCCACTCCCCCCTTTATTTTAATTTCTTACCAAAGTCACTGGATGTGGATCCATTTTTGCTCTGTGTTTTTCTCTATTTGCATTTAATTCCAAGGGATATACTGTCTGGATGTGATCTGGTCAGGCTTTACATGCAATCAGCAACACATAATCAACTGTATAACCAAGCCGTATCTCCTACTATATCAAACCTTTAAAAAACCACAAAGATTTTGGACGTGGTACAAAATAATTTTGCAAACTCCCAGCAAGCAGAGTATTTTACAGGTTGGGTAAAGCCCAGGCAGCACCTAGTCGCAATAATCCAGGAACGTTTTACGGCTTGAACGTCTCCCCCTTCCCCGCTGATGTCAGCGGCTGTTTCGGTACTGACATCAGCAGGAGTGGGTGCAGGCAGGGATCCGGCCCTCTCCCGACGTGCACATCCTGACATCCTCCAAGGACTCAAGGACTTTTGGGCATGTAAAACGATGTGATTCAGCCGATCTATGTGAGTGTGAGGCGGCGAATGAATCCCTACGCAGCTGGCTGTAGCAGAGCAAGCCTGTGTTAGGATTTGCTTGAGGGTGCCCTAAGCAATAAGAGTACACGACTGCCAGTGCAAGTTTGGGAACAGGGATCGCAGTGGGGAGGACAGAGCAGCTCAAAGAGCAGATTCTTTCTGCCATTTCTATTAGGCTCAAAAATCCCACGTTTATGGCCAATTCTTTCTTCAGCATCTTGTTCATGCTTTCTTTTAATTTACCTTCTGGTTTGAGAGCTTCAGGATTTCTATTTTTTAGCTTTTCTTCCGAACCACAGTTCTATTATTAGTGGAATTGGAGATTTTGTTATATTTACATTAGTCCAGGAAATTAACTCTGAAGAAAAATACCAATTAAGATGAGCATAAAAAAAAAAAAAAAAAAAATCCCAGGAAGCCCTAATATTTTAACATCTGTACAATAATCGAGGCAGTTGCTGATTTCTCATTCCCACTGCAGCCCATCCAGCAGCTCCTCTCCTCGGTACTGCATCACAGCCTGCAAAACGGCTTCAAAAGGCACTTTTTGCATAAAGTCTTTTCTAAATTTAAAAAAAGAAAAAAAAAAATTCTGTTCCCGATAAACCTCTTAGTTTCTCCCGAGTCTGATTTTTTATTCCCATGCCTGTACAGCATGGATTTTTGCAGTTTTGCAGTATTTCCCTGCAGAGACAGGAATGATTTGATGTGCCTTAATACTTTGAAGAGTTCCTACCATAAATGAGACTTAAAGTGATGACTTTAAACTCAAACTGGAGTGCTCCAGCGTTCAAACAATCTATTAGTTTTTTTCCTTCGGCTCTATGAATGATCAATTTTCAAATAGTACTTCCCAAAGCCGTTTTTCTGGAAAGGGGCTGTAAGAGACCCATGTGTGCTTGTCAGGCAGAGAGAGATCGTTTTCCCTGAAAAACTTTTCTCTCTTCCCCACTTTTCTGCAGAGTTAACGGACTGTGGGACTGCGACATCCTAATTAGCAGATAATGTTATTTTCTGTTGCATAATGTGTTTGTTCGCACAGAATAAGCCGGCTGCAAAAGACACCGGCGGTCATTATTATCAGGGTTTTTAGCTAATATTCTCAACCGGGTCGGAAACAATTAGCGTAACGGGATCAAAGCTGTAACAACCCGACTCTACATGAGCCTCCTGCGTACTCAGGTATTTTTTTCTGTGCATCTAAATCTGATTTCTGCCAGGTGATGAAGGCAGACCGCGCCGTCACCCTTCTCTTCCCGGGGCGAGCGCTCCTCTCCTCACATCGATTCTAACAGGAGTTTTGGCCGAAAACATGTGGAATTGGCTTCCCAAAACGTTACGTTGGTCGCCGGTTCGTTTTCTGGACCCACCTCATTTATATCAATGGTTTAAGACACCACCCCCCCCCCCGGCGCGCCCCCACGGAGACGCGCGGGTGTGTGGCCGCGGCGCAGCCCCGAGGCCACGGGGAGAGGCGGGGTAGGAAAAAAGGCAGCAAACAGGACTTACCCTGGCTGTCTGCGCCGAAAGCCTTGAAGTCCAGGGCGAGGGGGGGCCGCCACGGGTAAGTGTCCAGGAGCCCGTCCAGGACCCCCCTGCGGGGCGAGACCGGGCTGAGCGCCGCGGCGGGGCCGGCGGGCGCGACGGGGCGGGCGGCGGGGCGGCCCCAGCCCTTACCTGTTCCTCCCGGGATCCCGAAAACCTTTGGCGAAGGGATTCCTGTCGATTTTCAGCTTCGTGATCTGGTTGGGGGGGGGGGGGGGGGGGGGGCGGAGAGCGAGAAAGGGGTTGTTGGGGCGCGGGGCGGGCCGGGACCGTCGGGGCTCTCCATCCCCGCCGGCCCCCGGGACCGTCGGGGCTCTCCACCCCGCCGCGGCTGGTCCCCGGTACCTGCTGGTTTTGGTAGGCAGTCACGGTGGTGAACTCGGTCTCCTGGAAGGAGAAGGTCTGCACCCCCTCGGCCGGCAGCGACGGGATCTGCGCCAGGTCGAAGCGGGAGTCCTGGGCGATAACGTGGACGCGAGGCTTGTACTTGTGCATGGACTGCAGGATGATCTGTGCGGGGGGAGAGGCAGGCTGAGCCCCCCCGAGAGGGACACGGGCAGGAAGAAAACCCCATGCAAGACACGGGTGGGACCCAGCCCTCAGCCCCGGCCCCCCGCACTGTCGGCGCTGCCCCCCGGGGTGATGCTCTGCCCTCCCGGCGGGGCTGCCCCACACCTACGTGCCCCTTGTCGTCCATCTCGTTGTTGGTGAGCTTCACCCGGTCGAAGCTGATGATTTGCCTCATCCAGGTCTCCCCCGAGCAGGGGGAGTCGGGGTGGATGTAGAGCCGCGGGGTGATGCAGGAGTGGTCCGTGTTCCCCGCCACCATCCACTGCGAGCTGTGATAGACGTACCTGGCCCGGGCCGGGCCGCGGTCAGGCGGCGGGAACCCCTTCCCCGACCTGCCCACCCACGCCCACGCACACCTATAGACTCTATAGGTGCGCGCGAGCCCGGCAGTGCTCCCCCACCCACCCACCCTCCCGCCTCACGTCTGTACACCCCCTGTATCCCATAGGCGCAGTAAATGCAGACGGGACGGATCGGGCCGCAGGCTGCGAACACTCTGCCTGGTAAGAGGGATCCCGCGTGGGTGTGGGGGTGTGTGGCTGCCCCGCCGGTGTCCATCCCCCTCACCCCGTACCTGTATCTTTTGGAGTCCACCGGGACGACGTCGATGGCGATGTAGTATTGCTTCAGCGGCTCCAGCCCCTTCACCTTCACCCTGACCGACGGGAACATCCTCCTGCGGGCAGAGGGGAAGGTCCTGAGCAAGAGCTGCCGGCTCAACGGCGAAAAGGGGTTGAAAAACTAAACGGGCATGGGGAAAAATTTTTTTTCAAACTCAGTAAACATAGCGGAAAAAAAGGGAAACAAAAGAAAACTACCCTAACCCAGCCAAAACAAAGCAAACCCCAACCAAAAAATCAGAACGAAAAAGAAAAGCAAAAACGGAGCGAGGGGGCAAAGGAGCAGCCGGGGGGCAGCGGAGCGGCTGCGCAGCCGGTACCTGCCGGCCTTGGTGATGATCATCTCGGTGCCGATCTCATGAAACCTCCTCCAGAGCTCGGAGCCCTGCAGCTCCACCTGCGCCCCGGCCCCCGCCTCCCGGCTCTCGGCACCGGCCCTGGGCCGCTTCGCTGCGGGGAAGAGAAACGGGAGGGGGGCGGTTCGGGAGGCTGCCGGGGGCGGGGGGGGGGGGGGGGGCGCTCCCCAGGCCCGGGGGTCCCCTCCGAGCGGCCCTGCCGCTACCAACCCGGCTCCGGGGCTCTGCGGCTCTGCCTGCAGCCGGTCCCGGTTTCCTCATCGCGACTATCCGGCACCTTCCTCTTGGTCGAGCGTCCCACCAAGGCTTCCACCGAGAAGGCGTGAGCCCGGGAGCTGAGCGCCATCCCCCCCGGGCCGGGGGTCCCCCCGGGCGGCAGCGGGGCTCAGGCGGGCGGCGGCGGCTCCATCCCGGCCGGTACCCAGCGACCCTCGCCCGGCCGCCGCACGGCTCCCGTCGGGGGGCAGCGGCCACGGCGAGATCCTCTTGCATCCAACTGAGTCAATAGACGGCTGCAGCCTCCACTGTTTGTTTTGGAAACTGGTGGGAGCATAAGAAACAGTGAGTGACATTTCATAGGAGTAACGGGGGGGGGGGGGGGGGGGGGGGAAGGGGCGGGAGGGGAGAGCGGGCGGTGGAGGGGAAGAGTGGGGGAAGAGGAGCCGGCCCCGTCTAGGATCAATAAAAGAGTTACTGTTCTCCATTAAATTGTAAAACTCAAAGAAATTTGACATAATTGCACACTAGGGGCCACTTTTCCAACAAAAGTGCAAATAACGTTTAACCAGAACCAGCAGAGAAAGAAAGAAAAAAAATAGGAAAAAAGTTTTATTAAAAAAAAAAAAAAAGAAGAAAGGAAAAAAAAAAAAAAAAGAAAGAAAAAAAAAAAAAAAGCGGGACACACACACACACATTGAAAGCGAGGGTGAGCCGCGGCCGTGCGCGGAGCGCTCCGCGCCGGGGTGCGGCGGGGTCTGCCTCAACCGGGCTGGTCACAGGGACGGACCCCACGGTGTCCCCGGCACCGCCGTGTCACCCCGCGGCTGCGTGACAGCGCCGGACAGGGACTGCGGCTTGTCCCCCGTTTTTGCTTTGTTGTTTGTTTGTGGGTTGGGGTTTTTTTTGTTTTTGTTTTGTTTTGTTTTGTTTTGTTTTGTTTTGTTTTATTTTGTTTTGTTTTTCAAAAGGCAGCAAACCCGCTCTGGCCCGCCCGCTCTGGCATCACCGCCGGGATGTTTCCACCGCTCCGCTTCAAAGCGCGGCCCCGCAGCGGCAGCTGCGCTGAATTAGGGGCAGAAATCCCAGTTTTCCACTCAGGCGATTCCTGGGGGGGTTGTCCGGGCTCACGGGGGGGCTGCAGCCGGGACCCGCAGGTGCGCAGGGAAAGGGCTGCGCTGGATTTATGCGGTGATTTTCGGGCCCCCGCCGGGGACCTCCCTACCCCGCAGAGGCTTGAACACATCGCGCTGATTTATTTTCCATCCCGGCGCCCTCTCCAGAGCCTGCACCAAAGCGAATTCCGGGGCTCAGTCTTTTTTTTGGGGGGGTGGAAAGCAGTGATATTCTCACTGAGCAGGGTGGGTGTCCCCCTTCCCCACCCATCCCCAGCACACCTCTTGCCCCGATGCCTCTCCCTGCACCAGGGAGGTCAGCCGGGATAGATGAGCCTTAACGGAAAAAAAATGTGGAAAGGGATAAAATTCACAGGCCAGCTGAGAAAGCAGGGCACTGTGGCTTTGGGGCAGGAAGGGGACGGCGTGCAGAGCAAACTGTCCCACTTCCAGGCACTCCCAGAGGCTCAGGAGAACATTGCTTTATTCAAATGGTTAATTTTTTTTCAGGATTTCTTGCTGTATTTGTTAGGGTCTGTGTCCTGCTGCACACATTTCTTCCAAGCCTTGGGCCGGCAGCAGAGTGAAAACTGCCTTATCTTTGTGGAGATGACTAAAACCAAATATCAGACAGCTGCTACCTGGCAGAACTCTTGACAAATGCATATTTTAAATGCCCCACACTCATGCCGTTGTCCTCAAATCTCCATTCCAAGGATGCTCATTACTCAGCTTATGGTGGGGTTTGCACATTGTTACTCATTTATACACATTTTTAGGCATTTATAACCATTTATACTTTTTAAAATACACATTCGTACATCAAACTCCTGTCATATCTCACTGGGACAGGAGTTTGTCTACGGAAAAGGCCTCGGAGGAAGTTGAAAGGGTGCAGATACAGATGCTGAACGTTGGAGCTCAACATCCAGCCTGGGGTACCTGGTCGAAAGCTGCTCATTTCTCTGTCTGCTGACTTTTCTCCGTGCGTGTGGTCCCGGTGCCAGCTCCAGCTCAGACCAGGACTGCAGCCCGGTTTGGGAGCGGAGCGTTAGCGTCCCTGTCTGTAAATGGGGCTCTGAAAAATCTGGCTGAGCTCCTGTTGGACTCATGGGGAAAATCTGACAATGACTCTTATAATGGCAGTTGGGACAGCTGTACATCAGCTGTAAAATAAGCACATGGAAGGCTGTCTCTTGCATTTGCTTCCCCAGGATTTGTAGAGCTGTGTGTGCGTGGGGCTACACAGGAGAGGAGCCAGCCCTGACCCGGCAGGAGCACAGGCATCTCCTAGCACGGCCTTCAGAGGGGCTGGTGATTAACTTTAGATTTAACTTTTATCGAGGGTAATAGTACTTCTCTTCCTCCTCAAAGTGTCTCAAAATCTGGTGACCAGTATGTCGTGTCGTAATCTGAACTATACGGTGGCTTTGTCCCTGTGTTACTCCACTCTTCCACTGACATGCATCAGCCATGGCCCTGCAAACCCCCAAACCCTGCTGATATGGTTTTCCCTGGTACAAGGCATGTTCAGGTGCTTTTGCCCAATGCCTCTGTGGGACGGGTGCCTGACCTGCTTTGGGGGGCTCTTCTGGGACGTTATCCCACAGCCCCCCCCGCCATCTGGGAGAGAAACGACCAGAGACCAGGGCGGCAGAAGAGACTTCGGGAGGTTATCTTGCTCTGCACTCACCCTGGGCAGGATCAGCTCCACCTATGCAGATCTTTATTTCTTCTTACAAAGAGAAATGAAACCAATTTCATAAACATGTTCATAATTATGACAGCATAAGCTCATGATTTCAAAGCAAGGTGAACCGCGGGTCCTTCCCGGAGCCCGGCCGGGCCGATGCTGCTCTCCCCAGTGCTGATGGAAGCCAGCTGAGGGCATTAAGTGTGAACCTTTATCTCTGCTGACATGACATATTATTAAAAAGTATTTCGAGTAATCTTTTATTTCCTTAGCATTGCAACACATTTCAAGAACTTGGCTGGGGATCAACCAACCCTTTTTAATTTCCTACAATGAAAAATAAAACAAAAATAAAGCCCAATTGAGATGATATAATCAGGAACATTTTGAGGGTTTAGGTCAAATTAATATGTCAGAGAAAGGTTTTCAGGGGCCTTGGAGAGCTTTAATCTGTCAAAGACTGACTCAGACCCTTCTTGGGCTTTGTAATCTTATTGTCTTTACCAAATTATGTGATGGTATGTCACGTATTACCGTCATCGGAAAATTGAGCGAATAATCGTTTGGCATAAAGTTCAGAATAACTAACTTAATTTTAAAGCAAGTGTTATACAATATGCCAGAAATGTTTGCTTAACTTGAAAATGATCTTTTAATACTGTTCATTAACCTGCTAAAGCACACAGGTAAATTCCAAACACAGACCTTCCTGACCAGTTTAGGGTCAGACTTTAGGAGACTTGATTGTGTTCAAGCTGAGCTTGATTTTGCCAAGATGTATTTTGCATTTAACAAAACAAAACAAAACAAAATAAAAACCCAGAGCAAACCAAACCTGACTAGTGGTTTAGGGCTAATATTTTAATATCACCTGCACTCAATTATGCATCTAATATTTTTCTCTTTTATATATCTGCCTGGTATGTGATAGATTTATATAAAGTTGCAAATATAAATTTGGTACTAGGACATTTTCAGTTCTAACAGATAAACTCGAAGGACTGTTTGTTCTCTGCTTCACAAATTGTTAGTGAGAAAATTTATTTTTTTTTTTTTTTAGTATTTGGAAAAAAATGTTTTACAAACCTGTAGTTTCTAATCAGAAAGATGCAGCACTGCATCATCATGTACTGTTAAACAAGCCCTGACCTGCATAACACAGCCCCAGTGATTGCTTCGCCAGTGTTTATCTAGACAATGTGTAGTCAAGGCTGCAAATGGGTGTGGGTGCATCTCTTTTCCCCGCTGGGTGTCTGCAATGTGGGGACTGCTCTGAGCAGTCTTTTCGGGTGGTGTAACTCCCCTTCTCTGGCAGAGCCAGAGCCAAAGCATCGAGTCCCAGGCTGGTCCCTTCCCCCGTGTGCTCTCCCCTACCCAGCCTTGGTGGCACCAACCACATCTGCCCTTGCATCTTCCATTTCAAAATCTTTCCTCTCCTGTAAAAATATGCTTTAGGAATGATTTAACCATGTTTTCACATGCTACTAATTTTTTATTCCAGGACTCACAGTCTAGTTTGCATTTTTTCAATTTCCCAACATTCCTGTTAATAGTAAATAAATACTTTATTTTTTTCAGATCCCAGACTATTTGTTCATCGTGTTGTAAATATAAATGTACATGCTGCCTCAAATTTAATAGGCATAAACCTGACACTGAAGAAATGTAAGTTCATATCTAACAATCCAATGTACAAATAATATAATTTTCTTGGAATAAAAAAATAAACTTACAGATGATACAGTGTACCACAAACAGCTGCCACTATCAACACAGGAAAGGGATGGAAGGTTTGTTATGGGAGTATGTTAAAGCTATAATAAAACAGTTTCTAAATGCTCTGGCTAACACACAGGCTGCAACTGGAGTGAATGTGACCAGCAGCTGAATAACCCTTCCGTGGACTGAAATAATGCTGGTTTGGGTTCTACGGGAATTGAAATTTGCAATATTCAACTTTAATTTTTGTAAATGTAAATACCACTTCATATGAGTCATTAACTAATTACTTATTAAAGGATTAACAAATATTTCCTTTTCCTAAAAAACAATCTTTCACAGAAACTGCTAAAGACTAAGTAAATCTTGGCAGAAAACACCCTTAGTAGCTTATAATAGCACTTAGGAGATTGTTTTCCCTTACATTCTCAAATGTCCAGTCCCACAGCGAAGCTTTCATTTCATTCTCCATCTTATTTTGCCCATAGTGAACTTTGAAAAACCTCTGCTCTTATATCCAAGTGCAGTGTGATAGCATGCGCTCCCCGTCCTCGTTGGGCCAACCCCGCAGTGTCCGAAGCAGGTGATGGCACGACTCAGCCCGTCCTTGCTCTCAGGAACATCCTGAATTAACTTCATGGCAAAAATGACAGGTCTGGGGAAGAAATGGTCAGATTATGGTGCTGGACAGCCAGCGCTGAAGTTTCTTGGTTGGTTGACCTCCTAAAGAGGTTCTTCACTGCCATGTGCACTGCATTAGTTAAAGATATATTGCAATAAATCTCTGCTATGTTGTTTTATACATAAGCCCCGC